GATGTTTGCATTGCTGGTGTTCTGATGTCTCTGATGTTCTTTGTGATGGCGAAGGTATAATCGCGTTCGTGTAGTGTTTGTTGGGAGCTGGGAGCTTTTGGTTTTGCCTTCGCATGGACAATCACGTGTTTACAAAGTGTTAGTAGAAGGTATTCGTGTTCGCAAACGACTGCACGCGTTCACATAGAGGAAGAGTTTGGGTCCTGGTGCTTTGTTCATCGTGTTCGTGTAGAAGCGTCCGCGTTCGCGTAGTGTTAGTAGCTTGGTTATCGCGTTCGTGACTGAGGCATTGCGTTTGCGTAGAAAGGCAGTTTGGTAGGTCGCTTTTAGTGTTTCACGATCGCGGGGGCCTTATCGCAATCGCAAAGGGTACCCCCTGAGCAGACTTTATAAGTTGTGTATTTTGGGATTTTGAGCTTATTTCTTATATTTTGAACCCTAGGCTTGGTGAGGGGTGATTTCTCATGGAGATTTTCACACAAGACTTTGGGGTTATGGATCATCAGATTTTGGTATTTGTTTCGAGTTTAGGGAACACGGGCCCGAATTGACTTTTGTTGACTTTTTGAGAATCCTTCAAAGATCGAGGTATTTGTTCTTTGAATATATATATGAATTGAAAAAAGTTCTATCCAACTTCCTTGTAAGGTATTAAAATTTTCCCAACCAAAGGCACAATATTTTTAACTCCATGAAAGTTCACCTTTTATTGGATATCATCTTATCAAACATGCTTACTTTTTATTTGCTCATGCTTGGCTGAATTTTCAAAAAATTAATTGCTATAATATCTTTTCCTCCTCAGGAAGAACAAAATTTATATAAATGTTCAGTAATGTCATCTGCCATTGCTCCACTGTCAAAATCAGAACCTCAGTTGGGGTTTGATTTGCACTACCTGTCTCTCAGTTGCTTTAGATACGGAGTACTATCATGTTTAATGTATTTGTATATGTTTAAGAAGATAAAACAAAAAAATTTCAGAAAGTTATGTAAAGAAGATTGAAGCGACATTCTTGATAAGTTAGTTTTGAAAATGCATGAGAACGTGGGTTGAAAATATTTGGATAGGGGTGATTATCTACATACTTGGTAGTTATATTCAAATGATTGAATCCTCGTTAAGGAAGAAAAAGTTCTCGCTTTTGAGAGAAAAGCCATTAGCCGAAACAAGGGTTTGGTAATTTGAACAAAATCCCTACCCTCATATCTTAGAGAATTGTATGTTCTTGAATTGTTATTTTTCGTTATTGGTATCAGAGCAACAATTATTTGTTTCCTAGTTATAACTAAGAATAGAAAATGGAACAATTATTTTTAGAATGAATGTTACGGTAAGATTATATATACTATTTCGTTACTAGTTCCAAAAAGAATAACATATTTCAATATATACTTAATGAGAAGCATTTATAGTAGGGGCGGAGCCAATATGTTGCCTACCGGTTCGACTGAACCCAATAGTTTTGGTTCAAACCCTATATTTTTCTTAAAAATTTTATTGAATATGTACAAATTATTAATGTAGAACTCATTAACTTAAAATAATTAGAGTCACAAACCCATAAGTTTCAAATTCTAACACCGCCTCTAATTTTTAGTCACGGAAATAATATAACACATGTATAAGATTACAAGTTTCAAAAAATTTATAATCACATAAATGCTACTTTCTTTGTCCCAACTTATGTGATAGTGTTAAAATTTCAAGAGTCAAAAGAATTATTCCTTGACTATAAGTTTTGCATATATTTTTTAAATATTTTGAATTATTAATTTTTATAACTTGAAGTACTTTTATTTTAGATACATAAATTTTATTTTAGAAAAAAGTTAAAGATATTTAAATCTCGAAAATAAAAAAGTAAGAGTATTATATAAATTAAAATAGAAAGAGTATTAAATATTTAAGACCATAAGTTTAAAAAATATTAGAACTAGAATAAAAAACCGTACGATTATGCTTTCATCAGGTAAAATTTCGCGCTGCATCTGTGAAAATGGTGAAGTTGTAGTTCTCATCAGATTCAAGCATGGAGTCAGTTGGGTGTAGTTGAAAACTTGACGTAACACCTCCAACAACAATGGCAGCAACCGTAAATCTATATCTATCTCCTCTTCTCTCCACTCCACAGCAACCTCAATCAAATCGAAGTACAACAACCGACCTAATCAAATCATGCAAAAACCTTAACGAAATCAAACAGCTGCATGCCCGTTTCACTAAACAAGGATTCAATCAAAACCCTGGTTTTCTTGGTAAACTGATTGCTAAATGCTCCGAAATAGGCTCATATGATAGCTTAAAATATGCACAAACAGCTTTTGACAATTTCTGTTATAGTGAAGAAGGTTTAAATAATACTTACAAGTTTAATTCTTTAATAAAAGGGTATTCTTTAGCTGGTTTGTTTTCTGATGCTGTGTTGATTTATGCAAGAATGGTTCTTGAAAATGTGGAGCCTGATGCTTACACTTTTCCTTTGGTTTTGAGTGCTTGTGCCAAGGATGGGAGGTTTTTTGAGGGAAGTGGAATTCAGGGTTTGGCGTTAAAATGGGGCTTTGGTGATGATATGTTTGTGTTGAATTCTCTGATACATTTGTATGGTGAATGTGGGGAGGTTGATAAAGCGAGGAAGGTGTTCGATAAAATGCCTGACAGAAATTTGGTGTCTTGGACTTGTTTAATTTGCGGGTACGCAAGGAGGGAGAAGGCTGAGGAGGCAGTTCGTTTGTTTTTTGAGATGGTAGAGGAGGAGGGTATTATGCCGAATTCCGTGACGATGGTGTGTGCGATTTCGGCTTGTGGGAAGTTAGGGGCTTTGGGATTGGCGGAAAGAGTGTGTGGTTATATTGGAAAGGCTGGATTAAAGGTCAATACTGTTATGGTAAATGCTCTTGTAGATATGTATATGAAATGTGGATCCGTGGTTAAGGCGAAAAGGCTTTTTGAGGAATGTGTTGATCGTAATTTGGTACTTTATAATACGATTTTATCAAACTATGTACGCCATGGGATGGCAACAGAAGCACTTGATGTCTTGGGTGAAATGCTTTCTTGTGGAGGACCTCGTCCGGATACAGTAACTTTGTTGTCTGCTATATCAGCCTCTACAGAGATGGCTGATGTTTTCTTAGGAAAGCAGTGTCATGCTTATATTTTGAGGAACGGGTTAGAGAATTGGGATTCCATTGGTAATGCCATCATCGATATGTACATGAAGTGTGGGTGTCAAGAATGGGCTTGCAGAGTTTTTGATCGGATGTCAAACAAGACAGTGGTATCATGGAATTCACTAATTGCAGGCTTTCTGAGAAATGGTGATGTGGAGGCAGCTTGCAGAACCTTTAATGAAATGCCGGAGAGTGATATTGTGTCATGGAACACCATCATTGGTGGTTTGGTACAACAGAGCATGTTTGAAGATGCAATTAATTTATTTCGTGTGATGCAGAATGAGGGAATTAAAGCAGATAGGGTGACAATGGTCAGTGTTGCATCTGCGTGTGGATACTTAGGTGCTAATGATATTGCTAAGTGGATATATAATTACATTGAGAAATACGAAATTCATCTAGATATGCAGCTAAGTACTGCGCTTATTGACATGTTTGCTAGGTGTGGCGATCCTGCAAGTGCAATGAAAGTGTTCAATAAAATGAAGGAGAGGGATGTCTCTGCCTGGACTGCAGCGATAGGGGCTATGGCTATGGAAGGAAATGGTAAGCGGGCAGTGGAACTATTCTATGAGATGCTCCGGGAAGGGGTAGAACCTGACCAAGTTGTGTTTGTGGCTGTACTAACAGCATGTAGCCATGGGGGTTTAGTAGGAGAGGGAATGGAAATCTTCAGGACTATGAAAGATATCCGTGGAATCTCACCACAGATAGTGCATTATGGGTGCATTGTTGATATGCTTGGTCGTGCTGGTTTATTGAAAGAAGCTATTGATATTATAAAAAATATGCCAATGAAGCCAAATGATGCAGTTTGGGGGGCTTTTCTAGCTGCTTGTAAAATGCATAAAAACGACAAGATGGCAACTTATGCAGCTGACATGATCTCTGAATCATCCCCAGATAAAGCTGGAATCCATGTGCTTCTATCAAATATTTATGCTTCGGGAGGGAAGTGGACCGATGTTGCCAAGGTAAGGATGTCTATGAAGGAAAGAGGGATAAAGAAGAACCCCGGTTCAAGCTCAATCGAGGTGAATGGAACCATTCACGAGTTTACTTCAGGTGATGAATCTCACGCAGAGCAGACCAGTATTTGTCTAATGCTAGAAGAAATGAAGTGCAGGGTTAGAGAGGCAGGTCATGTCCCTGATCTAACAAATGTTATGATGGATGTTGATGAGCAAGAGAAAGAATTCTTGCTTTATCGACATAGTGAGAAAATAGCCATGGCATTTGGACTCATCTCGACATCTCAGGGACATCCCATTCGGATTGTGAAAAACCTTCGAATGTGCTCTGATTGCCACTCATTTGCAAAACTGGTGTCAAGAGTATATGAACGGCATATTATTGTCAGAGATAACAACCGTTTCCATTTTTTCCAGAGAGGGTTGTGCTCTTGTGGTGATTATTGGTAGCTGCATTGTTGTATATGATTGTACATAGTATTGGTACTTTCTCGAATTTAATTGTGTAACTTCATCAAATGCTTTGATTATAAATTCCATTTATTTGGTCTAATAAATACTTAATTATTGGAAATTCTTTGTACTTCTCCAAGAATGTAGATAAGTCATTCCACATGTGTATATAACAAGGTGAACTCGCTCCATCTCTCAAAAAGCCAGAGAGAGAGAGAGAGAGAGAGAGAGAGAGAGAGAGAGAACGATACTTTGTTATAACAGCTTAAGACATCTCTGATCTCTTTATCTGGTATTTCTCAAGTCCATTATCGCGGTAGGTGAAGAAACATTTGAAAATTTGATGCATATTTCCATCTCTCAAAAACTTTATCATAACAGCTACTGTGGATAAAAAAGTACTACATCAATATGAAAACATGAGATAAACTCAAAAGCAGCCATCTGATAAACACTTTTTAAAATATAAAATTTGTCTTGGGCTGGGTGATGGAGATAGCGATTTTGTTTTTTTAACTAGAAATTCAGGATTATAGACAAAGTCCATCACATGGATTGGTATTGCAGAAAGAATCTATTTGGATGGATTCTGCAACTTTGGGAAAACTGGATCAATATAAACATGATACATGGGATCAGCAAGCCAGAGTTTGGCAAGGTAATGAGGAGACGAAGTACGCCTGTGAACTTCTTCCATAAGCCAGATGCTTGATTCGGCTTTGGTCGGATGGATGAGCATCTCCAATGGATCAACTTCATCATCGGCCCCAACCCTCATTTGATCCCGTTGCTTCATGCAGAGGTTGGTCAGGTAATGCAGTGGTTGCCCATATAACTTCTTAATTGATGCAGCCAATCCTGCCCAAGAGATGCAAGGAATAGTGGAGTGAGTCTGTGTGGGGATAGGAACCAGTTGCATGTACTCTTGGTACATTCTCGCTCTTCTGAGTAATGCATCTGCATTGCACACCACAGCCTGTTAGACCAGTTATATAGATGTAACTCATCGAATGATGGTCATGGACCTACATGATAGTTAAACCATGCACCTTTCAATTGACTGGAAACTAGTTTGAATAAAAATTCTTAAATGGATTTCCTGACAAAGGAAAAGATCTCATTGCAGTATCAGTACAATCAATAAACAGACTCTCAACCTGCACATTCACTTTGTAAAGAAACTATTCTATGTTAAGCAACAAAACAAGGATCCTCTGTTTTATGGAAGATGTCTCAAAAAACCTCCAAATCTCCAATGTCACAGAATCAATGCGAACTTAACAAAGAACGTTTTTTTGATCAGTCGGACTTAATAAGAATATAACAAAATAGAAGCAGACGATCCATATAAATGGTCTTTTTGGGGTAATAATGCTAAGTATGGTGCTTGACGAGATCTTTTCAGTCTAGTTAGAGAGCTGCAGGTGAGCATCAGTATAAGTGTGAGATAGGGAAAAGTTCTAGACTTAGAGAACCCCTAGTTTCTCTAAAAAGACAAATTTACTTAGTATTGAAATGAAATGAGCTCAAAAAGAGAGACAAAAGAAAAAGAGCAGAACAGAAATTCATATTACTGAACCCAACAAATATGGAATTGAGGTGTAGTTGATTGATTGACTAATATGTAACAGAAACGAGATCCATGGATGAGCTTTTCCAGGAACATCTGGCTCTTTTGATAGTGCTACGCTCTTCTTCACTTCCGTGCACCCATTGGAGGGCAATCCTTTCAGGGGTTTCTTAGGGACTGATTCATTCTGCGTACATTGACTAATGCAGGAAACCTTCCCCACTGGTGGGAAAAGCAAAGGGCAGAACAGATCTTTCTTTTATATGCTAATTCTTGTCTGACTTTCTCTCTTCCTATGCTCTATTTTTTATCAGTTTCTCTTCCTATTCTCTCATTCCTGGTCAATGTAAAATTCTTCCTGATAAAGAGTTGATCAGCCTGGTAACCTATGGCTAGAACGACCAGTAGATCAAAATTTCAAATTCTGGCTCCCAGACAAAAGGATAGGCTGAACCATCTCATCAGGTCTAGATCACATTTTTCTCCACTCAACCATCAAAGCTCCATCAAAACAAGGAACTGAAGGAAAAAAGATAGAAACAATACTCCCTTGCAGTAGATAGCCAGATATTTCTTTTAATAGGTAAGTAGATAGCCAGATTAATTGATTTCATCAAGATAAATACAAGGCGGCACTCACTTATTATAGTATAATTGTTAAAGCTCCTTCAGCCCAATAGCATTAATGTTGAGTGATCCATTTATTGGACAAGAAAAAGTAGAAAAGGAAAAAAAAAATTGAGTGATTTCATAGCATTTTCTGTTTCTGTTTTAAAAAAAGAATTTTGTTCCAAAGTTTCTTTCGCATGTTTCCATTTTCCAAATTTTCCAAAACTAGTTTAGAAGAGCAGCAAAGCTTTCCATGTCATGCATCCCCGTAATAATGTTAATGCTCTACAATTTTAAATCCCACACAAATCCAAAATCAGAAAAAACAGAAAAATGAAAGCAAGCAGGAAACGGAAAGAATGGTAGAAAAGAATCAATACCCGACTTCTGATCTGCCATTAAAAGCAGAATGAGAAGAGGGAAAAAAAGCCGGAGGATCCAGAGAAGCTCAGGTCTTCTTCTGATTTTGTTCTTTGCGTACACCGAACAGCGGGCTTCTCGTTTAGTAGCAGGGTGTTCTGGAAAAATAGGTTGGAGAAATATAGGGGGAGAGCGACCAGGTGGTGAGTAACTGAGTATAATGTGACAGGAGAGACAAAAACTAGATCACATTTTCTGCATGTCCTCTTTTGGAAGATTCCGGGGGAAATAATTACAAGGTAATTCATTAATGTACAGTAAAAGCTGTGTTTCCACTTTCCATACCACGAGGAGAATGACCCGCTCCCCTCGGCCTTTGGAAAATGCTTTTTTTTTTTTAAAGAAAAGCATCCTTTTCGGTTGAAATATGCATTTTTGCTTATTTGCTTTTGTTCCCAAGGATATGCATGATGAACTTTAGATGACTTATTAGATCGAAAATGCTTGCTTCCTTAAATATAGCTAAAATCCGTATCTCAGAATAATATTATGGCTAATCTGTTTATATTTTCAAGTAGCAGCAGAAATTACGTCTTTGTTGGCAGTTACTTTTCTCATTGCTTTACTGGAACATAGAGTGTGATTGAACTTGATAAAAAAAACATAGAGTGTGATTGAAATTCAGATCCAAAATGGTATGATTTATCTCTAAAGGATTATCTAGTGATTTGATTATTGGCATTTTATGCTTGACAGTGTTCTTGCCTAAAGGTTTTAACTTCACATGTTTTTGAAAAAATAGTCAGTATGACCTTTGGCTGGCAAATACCAAGGTTTCATAAATCATGCTTTTTCAATATATTACTTTTGAGCCACTTAGAATTTACAAAACAGATAGTGGACAGTTACAAATACTATTGGAAGATTTATCTAAATGTGCATAAAGCTTCATGTCAACAGTGTCATGTGAAGATTCTAAATTACGGAAAGACATTTCAGAATACCATGCTAGCACCAAGACTATTAAACAAACTTCCCGACATATATCAGATGAATTTTACAGTTCCCTTCTATGTATTTTGCTTCGTTTCTTTACTTATATTTAACCTGGCCTGTAGATGCATAAGCAATGCATCACAGTATGTGCATAGATTCGCAAGCTTGATGTGAGTAAATTTTGCCCCCAGCTAACTCAAATTCCTAGTTTTGTCCTTGACTGCCCTAGTCCTCATATTGGAACATCAGTTGTTATATTTAAACAAGGAGATGAACTTGACTCTCCTCAAATCAAACTAACATGAAGCATTGTGCCAAAGGGCTAACATATCCTAAAAACTTAGCCAAAAACAGAATAATTTCAACCTACAAAACTTCCCAGCTTAATCAAGAGAAGAAAATAAAAAATTTCTGCGTAACAGCGACTAAAATCAATTACTGCTGAGGAATACCATATAACCGCTTGAATAGATGGCAGAACAAAAACTAATATCTATCAAAAAGAAAAAAAGATGAAAAGAGAACTTCAAAATGGAAGTACACCTGACCATGTCTGAATGATGACAAATACCTTCAGAAACAAGTTCTTCAACACCTTGACCAATGTTGAGATTGTCGCTCATATGCTCGCTTTCACACTTAACCATGTCTAAATGATCACAAATAGTTTTAGTACCTTCAGAAACAAGTTCTTCAACACCTAGACCAATGTTGAGATTGTCGCTCATATGCTCGCTTTCACACTTAACCATGTCTAAATGATCACAAATAGTTTTAGTACCTTCAGAAACAAGTTCTTCAACAACTTGGTCGACAGCAATGTTGTTGCTCATCTGCTCGCTTTCTGCTTTATGGTCATCCCCATCAGACGAAGATGATTCATCAGATGAGACATCCACTTGTTCACCAAATGGCATAGCCCTCTTCATGGCTGAAAATGTGCAGACATTTAGAGAAAACAAAAACATTTAACAATCCTGTAAATGGAAACTCTCAGCTGTACTGAATCAAACTAGTTTACAGTACAAAGGTCACAAGATAAACTTAGTTGGTAATAGCCCACTAAAAGTGAGGGGGGAGTGAACGAAGAAGTCAGAACTGGTACCACTTGATTCCATTAGCAAAAACTTATCAATCAGTGAATGAGAAATTGGTCGGTAATTCATACAGCTTTGAATGACAACTATCTTTGATTTTCACAGCCGAAAGCTGCAAGTTTCAATAGCCAACAGTTAAGTTCACGCGAAATAGCAGATTCAACAAAGTTCAAGCACCACCAAGACTTCTCTTTTATGTGCATATAACCTTTAATCTATTGTATTCACTAAGAAGAAGAAAAATATTAATGCATGCAAAATACAAGATAAAACTAAGAGTACTACGTACAACACAAAAATAACTATACCTCAGTACCAAACAAGTTAAGGTCGGTTATATGAATCCTAACTGGCCATATTTTCCCCCTTAAATTCATCTCAGGCAAGAGTACTAAGTATTAAAACCCACTCTTTTAGTGTATGTCAAGACAAATGAAGGACAACCCATACAATGATTAGAGATAGATAATTCATGAATTACTTCCATCCCAATTAGTAAAAACTACCAATACCATGTAAAGGGTTTTTCTCTTAGAATTTTTTTCTTTGTCAACTTTCCTTTATTTTTCTTCTTAAAAGTAATGTCGAGAGAATTACAAGGGGAATACTCAAAGGGAACTGAATAAACAATAAATGATCACAAAATTGGAGCTTTTTAGCATGGGAAAGAAATGGAGAAATCGAAATTTTAATTTTGTCTTCAAGCAACTTGAGCAGACACAGAGCAATTCGCAAAAGAACTGGTATTCTACATTAGAAAAAGGGAAAGAGGATTTTGTGGGGGGAATAAGAAGAGAACCTACGACTCAATTTCGCCGGAATAATGATCGGCAATGAAATCGCCGGAGCGGAGCAAGGTGGCAGACCAGGGTAATTTGGTCAGATTCTATGTGGTCAAAGATATCATATTAATTGGGGTTGGGTCCGTTTTACTGAGCTGGGAGAAAACTTATTGAAAAAAAAGACAAAATTGTTATAAGAAAAATCAAATTATGGTATCTACTTTAACTCCATTATTTTCTCAAATGTTTAATAACATATTCAATGACATATTTCTATATTTAATGACATATTCAATGACATATTTTTCTTCACTTTTATGCCTATATAAAGGTCTTGTAATAGATAAGAAAATACACACAATTGAAGAAGAGAATCTCTTCCTTCTCTCTATCTCCATTTCTTGTTCATGTTTTACTAAATTGCTTTTATTTCATAACAACATGTCTTGTTCATGTTTTACTAAGTTACTTTTATTTTATAACACATTATCAGCACGATGCCCTAATCAATTGAGTTACTTACATTTACAAAATTGTCCTACATCATAAAAGGCATGTTCCTGCCGTGCCTAATATTCATCTTGAAGAGATAAGCTTTTCTTTCTCATTTAGCAATTTCAAAGAATTGTATCAAATATAACTGAAGTAACAATAAGGTTGAGGAGACCAGTACACTGTGATAAGGCATATAATGCTAATGCTAAGATACGTTTTCTAATCCTTTTTAATTAATTCATTTTCTTATTCGTTTTTCTCATAGGTTCTTTATTTGTTATGAAAGTTTTCAATGCTAAGTATTTTTTTCTTACAAATCCATTCATATTCTTAAGTGTTTTACTTTATAAAGGAAAATACTTAAATGTAAACTAATTACTACTCCATGTTTTACTTATTTTATTTTGTTGCATTATCAATATCCATTTTAATGAACGAGTTTTTAATATTTGTTGTAAGTTTGGTCTGATCTCTTTCATCTCGTATCCTGGTTATATATATCTTATTATAAGAATCAGAAGTATATAATGATGCAGCCAAGAGTTACGTACTAAACCAAAGACTAAAAGAAGTATAAGAAATTGGGGAGCTACTACAGCTTTTGCAAAGTCATTTGAGGAACTTTGGTTCCTTAGTTAAAAAAAAAAGTAAGAACCTTAGGTAAAGTTTCCCTTAACTGAACGTTTTCCTATAAAATATATGCTTGACCATCATGTGCCATTCTGACTTTTGAAAAGGTAATGTAAGGTAAGTTTTTTTTGGGTAATCTTAATAGCACAACTAGCATACGTTATTGATAAATAAATATACGATCCAAATGGAAAAATATTTTGAATTAGTATTGGCCGATCAAAACTTTTAATTCTCGTATATTGAAAAATTGAGTGAGTTTGTATCTCTACAACCCAATTTTTTATTATTTGTACACGATATTCTTAGTACATTCCATTAAATTAAAAAAAAGGATTTAGTTTCTTGTGACTTAAAATACATAACTGCCCCTATTTTATAACTGATATGGGAGGCAACAAGATGGTAGAGTCATTCTAGTATTGACTTTTTCACTAGTGTTAAAAAATATTGTCAATGATTTTTTCAATTAAAGGTTCTGCTATATCTCTTTGTTTTATTAGAGAGCATAATACTTAGTTTTCATAAAAGTGCATGGTAACTAGTAATACTATATTATTCAATTTGATACATTATTTTTCTTTAATGTTTTAGTCATATCACTTTCATCTTGAAGTAAGCTTATTGCAACAAAGACCACATGTGAATTTTCAATATTATTTTATATTTTCATATATATGTTTGACACTAATTACTTAGCTGATTTGAGTAAACGAAAGTGTATTGTTGAGAATTATATCCAAATAACATTATGAATAGTTTAACTCGAGGTAAACATTGCCTTCACAATAATAAAATAGTTCTTCAAAATGTGAAGGCAATGTTTACCATCAAATTGGTATGCAAAATAATAAAGCACCCCGCCGATTATGATACATTCATTGAAGAGAATGTGACGTGTGATAAGCATTGAGAATGCAGACCCATTCCTAAAGGTGAATGTTGTAATATGTGATAAAAGTAATGAATAAAGACATGCAATGCATGATTGGATGAATACCACATAACTCACCTCTGAGGGAGGTTTGAGTGAAATAAAGAGAATAAATATTATTGTGTAGTTACATGAATATGTCATTGGTCGCGTACATGTGATACGCCAAAAAATATTTTGTTGTGCCTTATAGAAGGTTATTAAAGGCAAAATTAAAGAAAAAATGACTTTGCTTATGATGATTTTGACAATGACAATTTATTATGATATAATTTTCTCCATGAAGGAGACATTTACTATATGAATGGTGTGACAAAATATATTGTAGTACAAAAGTTATTAAGAGTTCCGAAAAAATTAATTTGTTACTACCCGAATGAATAAAAGTATTCACGACATTAATATTGTAAAGTCTCAAAAGAAATTTTTTGAGTTTCAAATGTATAAGTCAAAGTGGTTGGCATATTGAGACTATAAATGAAAGGAATATTGAATATTTTCATATTTCTATAATCATAACGGATAAATATGAAAGATTACCCGATTTTCTTTCTATTTGTACTACACAAATATAAGCATGATGATGGAATCATATGTCACAAGTAAACTAGAGGTTTACTAAAATAAATATTAGTTGGCATGACCGGTTGACCATCTCGGTTCAATTATAATGCGAAAAATTAATTGAGAATTACATTGACATATATTGAAGAAATATAAGATTTTTCAAGAATTCTCTTGTGCTGCTTATTCTCATGATATATCAGTTAAAGTTGGGATTGAATCCTTTGATTTCTGGAACTAATAAAAGGTGATAAATATATAGGCCCAGTCACATGCCATGTCGGCCGTTTACTATTATATAATTTTAATAGATGCATCTATTCTTTGGTCGCATGTGCATTTGTTATCAACTTGCAGTTTGGCTTTTGCAAGATTGATTGCTCAAATTATTAGAGCACAGTTTTAAAATATAAATTATGATTATTTATATTGATAATACTGATTTAAATTCAAGTTGGTTTAGCAGAAATTGTATGCCTCCAATTATAGCTAAACCATTAGTTATGAGAACAAAATTGCCAAAATAAAATTTGGTATGTGATGTATTATTTAATATACAACAACACTTGTACGCATCTAGACAAATTATGATAAGTTCTCCCTATCACAATCGGTTCAGGGTCAGGAACTAAATAATTTCCATCTAGAAATATGAATGTGCTATATGATTTAATTATTCTACCACAATATACAAAGATGAATCCCCAAATAAGGCTAGGGATATGTGTCGGTGATCCCAACAATAGGGGGAGAAAATGGGCAGCTGAAAAAGTAATGCATGTAATGAATTATTATGAGTACATCTAGATCCTCGTATGAGAAAATGTGAACTTGAAGTTCAAGGGATAATTCATTTGCAAAATATTGCCAGACGTATTTGCTGACCCAAAGTTAAATATCATATTCAGCTGCTAATGCTCCAAATAAAATAAAGTTCATAATGAATAGAGTCTATGGCATGCATGAAGCATAATAGACTAATCGGTTCCAAAGATAAAACTCCTTGAAAAGGGAGAGGAGCAAATGTTCAAGATGGTCATAATAAGGAGGCAAGTGCTATAGAATAGCACTACAACATAACACTTCATAAGACCTCATGGGAAAGGCTCAGGTACCTAAAAATAATAAGATAAAGAGATCTCAGTAAGTTATATCTTTATTGGGTAATAGTAGAACCGATATAAAATGATCGTCGACGATATTGATAATATAATGTAGTGCTCAATATTATTAATATTGACGAGGACCTTGAGCTCAAATCTATCATGAAATTTGGACAGATAAATGATTGGCTAAATGAAAAATACACAACAAAAATTAATTTCACCTGAAAAATATGAAGTTGGACGGATAGTCCCAACACCTAAAAGTATAAAGCCAGTGGAGGTATAAATGCGTTCTTGTGCGAAAAAAAAAGTCAAGTCGATAAACATAAAGACGACTTGTGTCACAAGAAAATTTATAAATATCCTGGCATTGATTATATAGAGACATGTTCTCCTGTGGTGGATGTCGCTATTTCAGGTTTTAATCTGGCAATACAAGAAAAACGTGATATGCATATAATGGAAATCATTGAAGGATTTAAATTATTCTGAAGCATATTAAGGTTTCCAAGAAATTTATTAAATAAAGCTTCAAAAATCCTTATACGGATTGAAACAATCAGGGCGCATGTGGTATAGTCGCCTGAGTGAGTACCTGTTGAAAGAAGGGTACAAGAAGGATTCAATTTGTTCTTATATCTTTATAAAAAGATTTGGATCTAAATTTATTATAATCACCATGTATGTTAATGATTTAAATATCATTGGAACTCCCAGGGAGCTTCCTAAAGCAGTAGAGCTTCCTAAAGCAGTAGACTATTTAAAGAAAGAATTTGAAATAAAAGATCTTGGAAAGACAGAATTCTGTCTTGGTCTACAAATTGAGTATATGAAAGATGGAATTTTTGTCCATCAATCAGCATACACTAAAATAATTTTAAAGCGATTATATATGGATAAAGCACATCCATTCCGACCTCATAAAAATAATGAAGAGCTTATTGGTCCCGAAGTACCATATCTTAGTGCAATTGGTGCACTAATATATCTTTCTAACATTACAATGTCTGACATAACTTTTTCAGTTAATGTCTTAACAAGATATAGCTCTGCTCCTACAAGGAGATATTGGAATGGAATCAAACACATATTGCGGTATCTAAAATGGACTACCGATATGAGATTATTTTATGTCAATGATTGTAGTCCCGATCTTGTTGGTTATGCCGATGCTGGGTATTTATATGACCCACATAAGGCTCGATCTCAAACAAGTTATGTGTTTATATATGGAGGCACTGTCATATCTTGGCGATCGACTAAGAAATCAATCGTGACTACTTCATCTAATCATGCTGAGATATTTGATATTCATGAAGCAAGTCGAGAATGTGTATGGTTAAGGTCTATAATACATCTTATTCGAGACAAATGCGGTTTGAAGTGTGATAAATTACCCACAA